TGTGTGTGTGTGTGTGTGTGTGTGTGTGTGTGTGTGTGTGTGTGTGTGTGTGTGTGTATAATATATATATAATATATATATAAAAATTCACATTGAATTATTTAAAGCATTAAAAATACAGCTTCGACCATTATAGACTTTAGTATTCTTACTTGCTATATTTATAGAAGGTATTCCACATGTCCTCCTTCCACTTCCATACATGCTTGGCATATGAAGTATGTATGGAAATTGAATGAGCACATACAGAACGCAATTGTTCTTGTACTTAGTTCTTTACTGTATCTAAATGTATATAAATCAATCATATTCAAGAATCTTACAACAGTTGCAAAGCTGCTTTTTCTGCTGAACGCAGCCATTCATGATGCTAACATAAAAAAATGTTTACATCTCAGAAATTTTGATCTTTCCGTTGTTCATTAAAATTTTTTTTACTCACAATCAGTATGGTGTATACTATCTATCATATAAATGCTGAATGATTTTTTTTTAATACTATATAAAGAATAGAATTATTAATTGTATAATTTCTCTCATCATTTTATCAACTCTACATATAAGAATATAAAAATATTATAGTAGTAAACATGAAGTTAATTTAATATGATTTTAAGAGATACTAACCATAAAATATTTGGTAAAACTGCAGAAAAGGGGAGCAGTTGCCGTTACGAGTGATCTCCAACAGATTTTAGCCATCGTTCGTCATTCATTAAAAAGTTATTAACAAAAAAAATTTGAAAAATGATGTCTCTCTTCTACTATATACTTCTACTATATAGGGATGTATCTCTTATCAGAGCGGGAGGTGAAGTGGAAGTCGTGTGTCCCTAAAGCAGGGAGACAGGTAGGGTGAGAAGCGCTTCATGTTGAAGCCGCACGCCCCTAAGCAGGGAGAGAGATGAAGTGAGAGTTACTTCGCGTGAAAAGTCATTACATAAACAAGGAAGGATATAAGAATAGTTTTTAATATTATAGCAGAAACAAAATATTATTTTTTTCAAACTTTTTTTGTTAATAACTTTTTAATGACGAGTGACGACTAAAATCTGTTGAAGATCACTCAGGATGATGACCTTGACATCATATGTCAAGATCATTGGCGGTTGCTCCCCTTCTGCAGTTTTATTCAGTTTTAATTATATAATTGCATTATATTTATAGATTTTGTATTAGTAATTGTCTTACAGTATAGATAAATTTACAGCTTCTTCTATAGAGAATGAGGATGCAGATAGATTTATTCGGGAAAGTAATTTGAGCATAATCCAACAATATGTTGAGAATAATATTGGTGATTCTGATGAGAAAATTCATGATGTGATTTTAAATGAAAACAATAGTACACTTATAACTGGATTAGGTGAGCATATATTTATAAAAAATTATATTACTTATATTTTGTCAACATATTTTTAATTTTATGAATAATTTTATGAATATACAGGTCCGGACATAGCATCTATGATATCAGGAAATGATCATTCAAAAGAACTCAACGAGAAAGATAATAATTTTGAAAATGTAAGTATTTTCCTTCTTTTTTCAAAATTAAATTACAAATTTTATTTATAAAGTAATATTTCATTTACACTTACAAGAAAATACACTCCAGTATCTTATTTTTTTATAAGCTTTGGATTTATTATATTGAATGCTTTGTAACAAAGATAAGATGACACAGTGTAGAATGCGCGCACTTGCTCACGCACTCACTCAACATTCGCACTTATTCACACACTCACTCACCCCCCCTCCCCCCCTTTCTCTCTTCTTCTCTCCCTCACTCACTCACTCACTCACACACTCATTCACTCACTCACTGAAGCACACGCATGCATGTGCGCGCGCATACACAGTGAATTATAAGTTGCTTTCCATTTGCACATAAGTGGAACTGAGTCTGAAGTGAGCTGAGTATTTAATACTCAGATTAATGACATCGTTATTTGCTTGCTTTGATTGGTCTCGATCGTGTGCAGATTATAGACAAAAACTCAGTTAAATCTCACTTGTCAGAATGCAAAAAAATGCGCGAAATTCAACTGAATTATGACGTCACAATTGAGAATTATCTAAGAATTAATATAAATGGAGCAACTATTATTACAACCTTGTTTGCCAGTATGAAACGAAGACGTAATGATGTACTGTGTTATCTGTTTACACTGATTCTCAGTTACATATTTTGTCTGCTAAAAAGTACCGTGTATAAATTAGATTAGTATAGCTTAAAATAAAATAGAAACTAGTATTGATTAAATACAAATAAAACATATCTCTTTTATAAATATTCTTGGAAATGCTGGCCTAACAATTTATTGAACGAATAATCGTTACACAGTAAAAAGAACTTAAGTGGCATATATACGAAAGGGCATCAAATAGATATGAATATTGCTCGAACAAAAAACCATAGTATCTATTACAACGTAGGGATAATCGAAAATAATAACGTTTAATGCAGTCTTGCACTTGAAAAAATTTTATTTTATTTAATATAGTTGAGTCATTATAGTACACAAAAAAAAAAGAATCTCTAGAAGGTTCTAAAAAGGACGTAAGGCGTTATGATAGAGCCCTATGATAAATCATTATCGATCATATAATCAACATTAGATATCAATTTGTAACATTCCCCTCACTTTGAGTTACGAGAGGAACTCAACTTAAAGTAAATTAAAATAAGATAATGTCATTAAATCTAACGATTATTCTAACAAAAGGGAAATAAAAATCTAAAACTCGAATCTTTTTAGGGTTTTTACACGTCTACCACTCCTGGTTCGGACTTCTTTTATACCATCTGACGTGATTAGGTTCCTGCTCCATATCCTTGGTTATGTCCGTACTTTGTTCCGTCTTGACTGTATTCATGCATGTCTCCAGGATACAGTCGTTGAACAGGCCGCATCAATTCTCCGGATGCAGTCTTTACTTTGATTACTCATACAATACCATCTTTGCTTGGAAACATCCGAGCTAATGGCCAGTCGTTTCAAATTGTCATGACTTAAAAGAACAATATCTCCTTCTTACTGCTGTTTTTGTTCCTGCGAGATAACTGAACTCGAAATGAAAGCGTTTACGTAAGTCATCGCAAGCTCTGGCGATACTTTATTCATTTATTCAAATTGATTTCCAACTTATCCAAATCAGGTATTTTATTTGCGAAGTTTCTTGCAAAAAACGCATCGGTATCAGAGGCTTCAGTTGCGTCGGATTGTCTGCTAATATCTCAGAGGATGTGAATTGTGATGGCTTCGCAGTCACACAGGATCGTACTCATTTCTTCGTAAGAAAGACAAGACGTTTTTAGCGTTTTTCTTGAGCAAGTCTTTGGTTATTCTAATCAGACGCTCCCATCATCCTCCCCATAATGGAGGATTGAGGCGTCAATCCATTTTCTGTTGTACTAAATTATTTGATTTTGTTCCAATCGATTTTGCGGAACTCCAAGAAAATTTTTCCCATTATCTGTGTAGATTATTGACGGTCTATCTCTTCTGGCGATAAATCTATGTAGTACTTGTAGAAAGAAATGTAATGATCTCCAAATGGATTGCTCGATAAACTGCACATGTAAATAAACAAATCCATATTTTCTCTAAGAACAATGATCCTGCGTAGTCTATGCCAACAATTTCAAATGCATTGGCTTCTTTCACTCGTTCACTCAGCAGATCCTCTGAGGTAGGTTTCTAATTTGTTGATCTTGTGTCGTTTACAAATCACGCAGTTGTTTATCACAGATAAAATCGTACTGCAGCTCTACAAGGATCCAGAACATTTCTCTCAAATTACTCTTCACGATCTGGATTCCTGCGTGATTCAACTGCTGGTATTTATTCGATTAATTTCTTGGTCAAAGAGTGTTTTGGATCTACTATGATGGAACAGTAGAAATCATGCATATCTTCTCTATTAATGACTGACGATTTCAATCGTAACAGTCCATTTTCATCTTCGTACACTTTCAATGTGCTCAACTTTGGCTCATTTACTCCGTTGAAGGATTCTTGTTGACTCAAGACTCATTTTAAGACCATGAACTCTACAGTATTCTTTTTTATAATCAATTCTGTTGATTCTGTTGATCTCAAGGCTTGACAGTTATTGATAAAACGAAGAATCCACATCATGGATTTACATCACATTTATATTATCTTGGAATACTTGGACTGCCCTTTCATATATCAATTCTCTTGTTGCGCTACGAGCATATACGTTTCTTCTAGCACCATGTTGTTCGATAAGAAATTGTCAGCTGATTTCTTCATTTCCTCATAGATCTCATTCGTAATATAGTCACTGATAGGCCAACAGTTCTTATCTGTCGGACTCTGGTCCCTTCCACCATCGCGATTGTATCAAATGCTTTACCATATATCCTCGCGAAGGCAAGTCTGCTGGATTTATGATTCCTGGAACATGATACTATTGATTCGGATCTGATAGCTTATGTATTTCTTCCACCCGATTAGATACGAATGTATTCTATGGTTTGTCTCTTTATCCAGGCCAGAACTGTTGTAGAATCTGATCAGAAAGAAACATTTGCTTGTTTTTCGTTTAAAGCATCTTTAATGGAGTGCCATAATCTAACACCAATGGTGGCCACAAGTAATTCAAGTCGAGGAATCGTTGACTTCTTTATCAGTGCCACCCTGGATCTAGCGGCAAGAAGTTGCAAGTAAACGTCTTTTGTCTCTTCCGTGCAAATACAACCGCTGCGTATGCAGCAGACGTGCGTCTACAAATATGTGAAAGATCAGATTCCTTGTTTCTTCGTTTCGTCGGAAGTCTCAATGTGGTATCCTTAGCTTCTTCAACCAAGAGAACTGTTGTTGCCATTCGATGAAATCGTTCTTGATGTTTTCTGGTACTTTTATATTCCAACTTATCTTGCGACCAGAGCTCCTGTAATAGTAACTTGGGTTTCAAGAATATAGACGAAGATACGCCAATGGGATCGAATATTCGTTGTGTCACTTATTATATAATATAAGCTTCTTGATGTAATCTTTACATCAGTCTGTAGTTCCAATAGGAATGAAATTAATCTTAGAGTGTCGTTTTTCTTATTTCAAATCGAGTATCGAAATAGATACTTCCTTCTTGTCTTGAATATTTGCCATGGAAATCAAATTTTCCTTTTGCCATGGCTCATTCAGCTTCTTCTTTAAATAATAACTCCTCCTTTGATTTGATGCTGATTACGCAGTCCACATAAAGGATTTCTGAAAATATTGAATAATAACTTTTCTCTTTTCGTTTGTTTGTAATGCTCTTTGTAATGCTTTTTCTAAGTGGTACTCTATGGTACCTCCTAATAAGGAGCTGCTAGATACACCGAAAACTACTCTCCGATGTCAATATATTTCTATCTATTCTGGGAACATCTTTTTCCACCAGAGAAATCGTAATACATTTTTGTCTTTTGATGAAATACTTATTTGCAGAAAGACTTTACAAATATCCGAAATTACTGCTATCCTCCGTCGTCTGAAACCTAATAATATATTAGGAATCAATCCAATCAGGACCTGTTTTCAGACATTGATTAAGTGAGAGTCCATTATTTCCTATTGCTGAGGCGTCAAAAACTGGTCTTATTCTGGTAATGCTGCCTTCCTTGATCACATGTCTATGTCTATGTGAAAAGTAATATTCATCTTGTTTTATCTCTCTATCTGGAACTTTCTTGATAATTCCCTCTGTTAATTATTTATTGAATATTCTCTGATAATTATCGTAAAGATCTTGTTTCTGAAATTTTCTCATTGATTCTAACCGGCGCTTTTCATCATTCTTATTAGCCGTCAAAAATAAATGATCATATCTCCAGAGAAATGATATTTCGTACCTTCCATCTTCATTCATCTTAATTTTTTGTTGAAAATGCTCCTTTACCTCTATCTCTAGAGAAACATTTTTTGCACAAAGGTTGCATAAAGAGCATAATATAGTCAAATACACAGGTTATTAGTTGCGCTGTAATCTATTTGAGATAATCTTTACAATTTTAATTACAAAAACGATTCGGCCTTCCTCAGTATCTTCTAACTAGATTTAATTCGAAAATACAGTAAATTCTAATTTTCGCAAGAGAAAAAAATCTTAGTCATTATAATGTATTTTAAGTTAATTAATATAACGCTGAGTGAGAGTCAATAGATTTTTTTCTTGTGAGATAGTAGAAAGCACATATTGATCCGTTAGTGATTGTTAGTCTCCTTATCGTAAAGAGTTTTCAAATTCTATTACAATTTGCAATTGTTAGTTATAAATCCATTTTTCCCTACAGATCAAATTCGTAAATACAATAGTAAACCTTTGCTTGACGTACATGAATGCAGTAGAAGTTACAATTTTTCGATGAAGAATTATACAATCTTTATAATTTGATTTTATATTTTTTAAGAATGAAAGAAACTTTCTTGAGTTATGCTTGTAAAATGAATTTTAATGTTACTCTGTGTTTTGTCCTTTTATATTTATATTTGTTAGAAAACTTATTTAGAGAAGAAAGAAAAACAAGGAAGGGGTAAGGAAGGGATAAGTGGAAAGGGGTAAGTAGAAAATTATATGTTGAGTAGGGATAAGTATAATTCTTAGTGTCACTTTGCTTATTCAAACCTGACTTTTATTTCTTTATATGTATCATTTCGGAAATGATTCTCTTGTAATATGAGGGTTCTCAATCTAGGATTAAAACATTATCCCAATCTAAGATATAATCTTCATTCAAATGATGGCTCAAAACTACAGATAATGAATTTATTGTACGGATAATAAAAACGTCTTTTGTTTTCTTTAATACCGAATCCGTTATGCCCAAGGTATCTAATTCCCAATAAGTCGGCGATATTCGCATCTTGAGCATACATCGAGACGATCATGAGTATAGAATTCTCTCTTCTCTTAGAATGAATGTTAATTTTTCCTATTAATGTCCAACCGAGCAACGTTTCAAAACGACCGCTTCACACTTGAGTTCCTTTCTCTTTCCAGTCATCAACTTTCTGTCAATATCTGCTCCTATTAAAACAACTATGGGCTTGTCTCTGTTATCGACATCGGTAAGTTTTATTCCTTGCTGTTGCAATTGTATGGGCCTTTATTTACCGAAGAATCATTCTAACAGATGACAAAGCAACAAAATTATAGGAATATGAGTTATCTAAGCTCTTTATGGAAATCTTGTATCCTTTATGCATGGTTTGGATTTCGCGCCGCCAAATAACATATGTTCGATTTCTTGTTCACTTATAATCTCGAAGCCTAATTCCTTGGCATAATGGTCTAATACGATTTATCTCGTGTCGGAAACCGCTCGTATCTCGTGCTCTTACGCGCGTTAAATAATTTGAAGCATTTATAGAAACACCTTACATGTTAGATGGACACTAGCGAGATTATATTGCTACTGCGTCTCATTAGTTTTCTCTATTTGATCCTTTCCTTGAAATGCATTTGGCGTGCTATTGCGACACATAAGTAGCACATGTTTCTTGTTACACCAAGCACATTTTTCTTTGTGGCGGCAGAACTTAAAACTGTGTCTTATAGTGACTCTAAGGCACGCAAATGAGTTTCTATCATAAATTTGAGATAAAGACGTATGTGTACTTACCTTTATCTTGCTCAATACTAATTTAAGCATCTCGCGTACGTAAACTTCGATAAGTAAATCTTCTCTGCCAAAACAATTCTTGAGACTCGTAATTACCTTGTCGTAGTTGACAGTCGGTGGAAAACTGTTGACTTGCTCGCTCGCTCTAGTTATTACCCTTTGTTATTGCCTGTATTAAGTATCGGTATCCAATCGATCGATGTCGAATTGCACGATGTCATGATTTTTACATACAATGAAATAATTATTATAATTGAAATCTAAGATATACATTATATTTTTCGTGTTCAATAAAACAATATCCAATCGATCTATGTTCAATCGAGCGGTGTCCACTTGATCAGTGTCGAATTGATCAATATTCAATTGAACGTGTCCAATTAAGCGTGTCCAATTGGGATTCTTCCACGGAAATGCTATAAGTTCTCCGATTTCTGCAAAATATAACATTAAACGGTTTTTAGAGTCGCTGGTTTTAAAATTCGGATTCAAAATTTGAAAATTCACAATGGTTGAATATGGCAGATGGAAAAGTTAAAAGTTCTCCGATTTCTGCGAAATGTAACAGGAATGTTAAAGGGATTTTAGAGTCGTTGATTCCGAATCCAAATTCAAAATTTAAAAATTCAAAATAGATGAACTAATATAGCGGACAAAAATGTTAAAAGTTCTTTAATTTCTGCAAAATGTAGATCAGCGCGTGTGTAGTAGTGATAATTTCATAAAAATAACATTTTCCAAGTGATACGTAGGTACAATATATCATTCGTATAAAGAAAGATTTAATATTAATGATTGGCCAAATTTAATTTTAAAAAATATGTACTTCCAAAAATATAAAGCATTTAAATTGCATTAATTGTGTGAAACTATTTTTTAATAAAAAGTAAGTCCCAAAAGCTTCGGTAATATTTTTAATTTTTAAAAAATAAGACTCAGTATACTACGTATATAAAAGTCTTTCTATTATATTTTAGCCCATAGTAATAATTATTTAATCCTCCTTTAAAATATTATATTACAAAATTGCGTTACTTTACTCAATTCAAGGGTTATTGCAAGGATATTATAAAGTATTAATTAACTTTTTTAACTTAACTTTTATCTTTTTAACTTAGCACTACCTAACTCTGCTAAAAAGACTACAATATGATATATATGCAAGTACATATATAGTGTATATTAGTAATTCAAAATTGAATTATTTAAAGCAATGAAGATCTAGCTTTGACCTTAATAGGCATTTTTCTAGTATTGATTGTGTTTTTCACATATGCGGTCTAAAATAGAGATTTTTATTGAAATAAACTTAAAGTATTTCTCAAAAATAATTATTATATCGCCAACTATTTTGATTAATTAATTATATTGATTTGATTAATTAATATGTATAAGCATATATATACATAATCGCTATTAAAAAATCACATTTACAGTTTCTCACAATCCTTATTTATATACAAAAGTTTTTCGCAATTAAGGATGTTTTATATACATTTTTGAAATAATAACAAAATTATGAAAAAAATTACAAATTATTCTAAATCACGTTAAAAATAATATGACAAATTTGGTGACAGTTAATATCTAGATTATAAGTTATTTTAATAAATAGTAGTATTTTAATAAATAGTAATATTTTAATAAATAGTAATATTTTATTAATCTGTGTTCCAATAAAAATATATGGAAATATATTATAAAATGATAAAAATTTCAATTTTTTAAATACATTATGTATTCAAGATTATTTATGTAAAATTACATTGCGATGCATTAATTAATTGTCTAATAAATAAATAAAATATTTATTTGTTCTATATCTTTATAACTATAATAATCAATAAATCGCAATGAAACTTTGCATAAATTATTTTGAATATTTAAAGTATTTATAAAAGAAAAAATATAAATTTTTTTATAATTTTTAAAATTTTCATTTTTAAAAAACAATAAAAATAATAACAAAACAAATAAACTACAAAAATGTGTTTCTAATACATCTTTAAAGTAGAACAAATCACAATAACATCAAAATGACGTTAAATTGAATCGTGATTGATAAAAAAAATGACTTAGCAATCCAATTTTGAATTTTAACATCGTGATGATTTTTTGTTCTATTTAAATATGTTTTTCAATTTATTGCATATGATAGATTTTAGAAACACTTCTATTAAAATATTTCATATGATATATTGCAGAAGCTTTTCAGAACTGTTGCACTTGAGATGTGAAAGGTTGAAACAGTTCTGGAAATTTTCCGCAATAATTGGTGCTATATGGGTATACTTATCTAAAAATCTATAAATTTGTAGACTCATTTTCTGATTTTTGTATTATGTATTATTAAATATTATATTTTTGTCTTTATTATTTATGGGATCATAGAGAAGTATGCAATATTATATCACATGTAAGATATATCCACACAACTAGCATAGCCGCATAAAGAAAATTATATGTATCTTTATAGGAGAAACGATTAATTTTCTTTATGCACATGTTCATGCGGCTTTGCAAATTTTTGTGGATGTACTCTTAAATATTTGAAATAATTAAGGTTTTGTTTTTAGTCTTCTGAAGAAATTTACGCAAATGATATCGATGATGAAGAATTGGACAGTTACATTCTTTCGGAAAAAGAATCGCAATCTAAATCTGCTCTTTGGAATAAAGTAAACGCTGATTATCTTGTTCAACAAAAAGAAAAGGAAGAAAAACGTTTGAAAGAAAAAGAAGAAGGTAAACCTGAAAAGAAAAGAAGAAGAACGACCAAAAAATATAAAACGCCTGCGAATACTGCAGGTAAATTTTCTATTTTTCGTTTAATTAACTTATTCATTATTATTAAACTGTTTTTTTTCCTTTAGGCGAAGCAATTGAAAAAATGTTGCAAGAAAAAAAGATATCTTCCAAAATCAATTATGAAGTGTTGAAAAATTTAAATAATCAACAAAGCAATGAAGATTTACCTATCACAAACACATCGGAATTGGACACAATAAGTTTTAAAAAACCGTTAGTGCATTATTTTAGAATTACAGTCAAATCGATTACGGGCAAAGTCCACATCACACAAGTATCCAGACAATGCTGACATTGTATATATAGCAAGCAGCTTGTGTAATGTCGATATTGCCCTTTATGCAAATTTTGCCCGTAACAGATATATTAACACTATTATTTTTATTATTAATTGATTAATAATAAGCATTTTTAATACATTAACGCTTATTAATTTTAATAAATAAGTCGTCACATAATTAATCATATAAATAATCACAAAATAGTAAATATATACATATTTTCAATGCAGGAAAAAAATTGAAATGGATTTATAATAGAAATGTTTATTTAAAGGATGCGTATAAAGAAATTTGAAATAAGTATTTTGCATAGTAATTATAAAAACAAATAGTATTTATTTATTTCAAATAGTATTTTTCATAGATTCAATTTTTAAACATTTCTAATGAATTCATTCCAATTTTTTCCCTTTTTTTTCTCTGTAAAGGATAATAGTATGTTTAGTACAAAAATGAGTCCACTTACTATGATTATAGCAGATCGATTGATAACTTCTTCCTGAAAACCACTTACAAGAGCATTTTACGTTTTAGAAGTTTTTATAGTATCACAATATAAGGCAAACAATACCATCGGAGTTCTTTCACTGTGATGTATAATTGACAAATCAGTTCGAAACAGCATCGAGCAATATATATATATATATATATATTGTTAACAT